TATTATTCTTCTTCATAAGAACTGTGTAGTCCGCCGGGTATGGGTAATGGGGTAACCACCACGATGAGGCACATTTGGGAAGAAGTGTTAGAAATAACAAATCAAACAGCGGATATCATTTTGCTCAGCGCCGTGTGAGAGCGATAAATGGTTCAGATTTAGTCTTTGAGGTATACAGAACCCTCTATACCAGTATGAGAAAACAGCATCAGCAGAGCAAAATAGAGTAGTTTTTCGATTGGAAAGTCAGACACTCACCCGAATCCTCACCCAAAACAGTCCCGTTAGAAGAGTTTTTTCTACCTGGAAAGTGGGCCTCTGGGGACTGTAACTCCTCCAATAAGCCGCGCAGTCCTTTTCATAATTTGAGCAGCGTTGCAGAACTAATTCATAATTTTTGTAACCCATATTACCTTTTTTAGCGATTTCAAATATGCATTTTTATCTCTCCCTTTGTTTTTCGTAGTTAGGGCGCATACATATTTTTCAACTCAATATAGCGATGTATGCCCTTAAGTGGTTTTGAGTTATGTTCTATACATACAGTATGTACAGGTTTACTAAATTATTAAAATTTACCTTCGTTACATATTTTCTGCGACCTTTGAAGTTTGCCTCGTTCCCGTCTCTGATAGTGATCAAGGAAATGTGTGACACTAAGTTTCCAGTCTCGTTTGGTATTACCTTTTTTAGTGCAAAAAATAACAATGGCAATAAATTAGTATACAGATAACACAAACGTAGCATGTTGTAAGTGCGCTAGTGGGACTTTCCATTATCCCTTACTGTACTCAAGTTTTAAGTCAAGCATTATTTTTTTAAATTTGTAGGTAATGCATTAAGTTAACACATGAATGAAATTATAGTGCTTTGAAAGCATGAATACTCTCATTTTTAGAGTACGAACTCGATATATGTTTCTGGCATTCATGATTCCTTCTGATCCAGGATAGACTCTGCAACCGAACCTCATGAAGTTCGATGTATAACTGTATATACATGTATGCGCATTCGAGGAGATTTATGTCTTCCACGTCCTATGCGAGTGATAAACTGAGTACTAGAATAAGCCAGGGTCATTTAGCTGATACAAATCTCCTCCATATTTTCATGAATAAATAAAGAACAGATTATACTGTTGCAATCTGGGTCCTGACGTATTTACGAATACAACACAGAAACTGAAGACCCATTGAGTGTATGCCAGGGTGAAGAGTTTAAGTTTATTTGGGACGAACCCGAGAAAAACACCGTTTTTCTGGAAGTGAATCTCCCAGTAGGGCAGATGAACATGGACCCATCTGCATTGCAGGTATTCTTGTGCTGAATCTCAGGAAGAGGTAAGGTTGGTGTTCGTGTTAGGGTCAGGGTTTGGGTTACAGATAGGGTTATAATTAGGATACGCGAGTAGATAGTCCCTGTAATTTTGTGCAAAGCCACTTGTAGTAATGAGAGGAG